TGCGGGGCAGAATGCAAAGCAGGAAAATCTTGCGGACTCTCTTCGAAATGCTTAAAACCAACCAGGAAGGCTGACATGCTGTAAGTCTGGAAAATTGGAACGATAGTTTACAATCCCCTCTCCTCTGAGCAGCAAGTCATTCGCTGCGGATTCGCCACCATGAGTGACTTTCTGGCCGTGTCCATAGGCTTTGATCGTCAAAATGAGGCCGCTACGGTTCTTGGCCATATTGGAAGCATTGAAGAGGACGCGTGCAGCTTCAGCAGCATCATGGGGCTCATAGTTCGACAGTTCGAACGCCTGACAAAAATAGCCCACGTTGTGATCATCATGTAGAATGGATCGCACGATTTCTCCTGCTTCAAGTATTGAAATGATGTTGCCCTCCTCACTAACGTGTGCCGCAAAAATGTGCTTTATAGGTGGTATGTTCAGCGCCCCTCTCCGTGTAGGAGGAAGGATCGGGGCGTCGCCCCTGCTCGCTAATGTGGGGATTGCGAGTAATAGGAATGAGTAATGTTCTTCTTTGTTGGTGTCGTCGCTCCATTTTGTGTGTGTGAGAAGTTGTAGGTCGGTAAAGTGGGTGCTGTTGAGATGAGCTGCACTAAGTACCTTGGCTACGTAGGAAATCATGGGTTCATTTTTGACATCAAGTGCTTGTGCGTAGTGGTTGAGCCATTGGAAGACATCCAATTGTGCTGGATCAGTGGGCGGTTGGAATTTTGGAGGAGGCAAGTTGTGAGGTCGACGTTGTACTGGAACTGTAGGTAATGGTGCTGGTGGTGGCGGTGTAGGTGTCTGTTTTGTGGAATGTTTGGGTGTGAAATGTGGGTTGGGTTTGAGTGTGATGCTGGAAGTACGGTGAGTTGACTCTGGAGTGTGTTTTGCAGTGGTAGCGGTTGTGATGTTTTGTCTGGGAGTGTGAGCATTGTCTTGGGCGATTGCTGGTGATGGTGATGTTTGTCTGTCTGCAGGCTTGGATTGTGGTTGAGAACTAGCCACGGATTGTGTGGCGGAGCTTCGACGTCGTGGTAGTGGAGAGCGTGTAGTGCGTATTGAGCGAGTGCGGCTCCTGGATCTGGATGTAGCTTGTGATGGTGCAATAGTGGGAACGGCTGGGAAGGCTGAGTAGCGGTGACCTCTTGTAGTGCTAAGTGTGGGTGCAATGGATGGTGTTGGCTTGGTAGTGCGTGGTATGTGGTGTGGTGGCGGAGGCTGTGCGGTTGTGGTGATGGATGCTGAAGCAGGTTGAGTAGCCGCTGGTGGGGCTGTTGGAGTGTGAGGTGGTGGTGGTGGAGTTGGTGTGGCCAGCTGTTGTGAAGTGATTGTTGCTGGATCAGGTGCTCGTGCTTGTGGTAAATCAGGTGCTTGTGGTGGTGGTGGTTGAAGTGATGGCGCGGCTGGGGATTGATTTGTCGTGTGTGGTGATGGATGTAGTTGATGTGATAGATGTGGTTGAGGAGGCAGAGGTGGTGGTTGAGGTTGAGATTGAAGTGGCAGTGTGGGATGTGTGTGAGCTTGGGATTGTGGTGGTTGTATTGTGAGATGCGGATGTTGTTGCGCAAGTTGGGTAGTGTCGAAAGGAACCGTGGGTTGTACTGGAAAATGTGCCTGTAATTGATGTGGTTGGATGTATTGAGCATGAGGTGGAGGTGGAGTGGGAAATGGATAATGATGTGAGGTTGGGTGTTGTGGTGGAGTCGGTGGCAGTGTTGGAAATGGTTGTGGTGGAGCCTGTGGTGGGTATTGAATCCAATGGGGTTGTGTAGGTTGTGGTTGTTGATGGATGTGTGGCGGTAGGGAATAGGGCCAGGGATACGTCATGGCTGCTCGGCAAGTCAAAGACAGTCAAAATATGTATGTATGTATGTATGAAAATAAATAGAGGTCCGTGAGGTCGAAAAAGTTGTGAAGTGTATTTACTGACCGCAATTAAACTCTGGAAAATTGAATTAAAACTTGAAAAGTTAAAAGGATTTGAAAGGAATGGATTTTCGGGTGAAACATTTTCAGTTAACTCTGCAGTGAGATTCAGAAAGGATTTCAGTGAACTCTGCAGTAATCTTCACATGTGCGGGGTGAGACGATCCAAGCTGATTTCGAGCAGATAAAATTCAGTCAAAGGAACTTCAGAGAAAATTCAGGAAACTTACTCCCTCGGTGAGGAGTGAGAAGGTTCTTGCGGTAACGGCGCCCCGTAGGGATCACACAGCTTACCACAGTGGGAAGAAGCTGCAAAAACACACTTGAGAAGGTTGCTCCGTGGAGCGTGATTTCAGGCTGCTTCGCGGTGTGCATTAGCCCTTTACATTTAGGTACAGCATTAGCCGAGAGCATTAGCACTTTATTGCAAAATCAACGTATGAGACAGCGTTGAACTGACTTAGAAGCATCAATGAGTGAAAATTAAAAATTGCAGGTACAAGATACTGCGTCCAGTATCTCTTCCAACCGAACACCATAGCTTTGTTAGCACGGCTAGGTGAACGGCCGCCGTGCCCCCTGCTACTGTACAGTGGTTGGAAGATTCGTAGGGTAGGTTAGAACGAGAACTAGAGTAGTGTCCTTGGAAACAGGATTGGACACACACACACACACATTCTTTGCCGTTTGAACGTATAGATACCAAATTGAGCCATAGTCTGAATGGGACAGCGTGTAGCGTGCCTTCCAAGAGGTACCGTGCGCACGGCTTGTGTTTCTGAGAAGTTTGATGCAGGGTCCTGTGGATACAACACTTTGTCGAGCAAGAAAATGTGTGCAAATGTGTGCAAAAAGAAAAGGGTGAACAAGCAATGAACCATGAATGATGATCATTCAGCTCTTTCCCGTATGTTCCTTGCAGGCTAACGGAATTCTAGCAAATTGAGAGTTGCAGCTTCGGAGTGCATCTCACACAGGTCCTACACACTGAATCTGCAAGATCAGACAAGGTTGCCTGTATTCGCTCCTGGAAGACGAGGATCAATTGGAAAGACTTTGAAAGAAAGGCGGTCGTGAGCACTCCATTTGAAGGCTCTAATCTCCCAAACATGGTGGAACTGCCCCTTTTCGTCTTCATTTCCCTCGGGTGGCATCACCACCCTCCCCCTCCTGCGCACCGTCATCAATGAACCAACAAGACAACAAAGAGTCCATGAGGAGGAGGATGGCGACAAAAGTTGTTCTAGCGCTAGTGATCTTCACCCTAAGAGGTCATTGAGTTGAAAACAAAGACATACCGGTTGCGGGCTTCTTAAAACAATATCACAGCCATCCCAATGGCCAAAGTGGCTGTGTCTTTTTTGGGGCCTCACAGCATGGCGAGATGTCACACAACTTTGAAGTTGGGGCTCCGGGGGGGTAGAGAAGGCAAGAACGGTTCAACTATAGATTGCTGTTATTTGGGAGTATTGACCGGTTGTCAACTGGTTTCTGATAGCTTCCAATAGCGTCTGGCTTCCGTTGGCTCTTGGTGGTTTCTTGTAGGTTTCTTGTAGCTTCAGGCTGTTGGCTTTTGGTAGTCTTTTGAAAAAGTTTTGTGTGTTCAACCCCCCTCCCGCGCCACGAAATCTGCAATCTCTCCAATTTCCCGCCAGCCACAAAGTCTAACTTCAGGGGGTGACACCCTGCAACAGCTTTCCTTCACCTTTTCCTTCACCTGGGCCGCCAATCTTCCAGCTACTTGATTGCAGTATTTACACTTACACCCTTTTTCTTTGCTCTGTGGAAGGAGGAGGGGCAGGTAGTGACCTCGCATTCCCGTTGGTTGGTGCAAGCAAGGAGGGCTAACCCCGTTGTGGACGTGGTGAAACGGCAGGAGGAGGTTTTGCATCCCCCTTCACCCCAATTTTGATGGAGGACTTCCAAAACAAACAAGTCGGATTGTGGATGTAGGCAATACAATGACTAGGCAAACTGTGAGGAAGCACGTGTTCTGCAGATCCCTTGTCTGCGTACACAAGCACAAACAACAAAGCGTTGTCCACGAATTCACAGAAGTGGTTCCTCAGGCGACACATGCTTGCGCTGGGACGCGAAGTACCTTGACAGCATTGACCTCAACACAATCGCCACCGAGGCCAGTGATACCAACTCAAACATCGATTGGAAAGAACAGCTCAAATTGCTTAGCAATTGCTTGGCTTGGTTGTGGACGGCTTTAGGCCATCCTCAGTATACAGTGTACTGGGCCGTACGCGTCTCGTTCCTGTCATAGGAAGTGCTTCAAGCCTCCATGGTCTTGGGCCAGTTGGATGTCTCAGCACACTTATACAAAGAACATCTTGAATTTCCAGGTTTGTGCTTTTGCAATAGCATGATTCAAACAATACACGGATGTATCCTATTCCGATAGTCCTGAGGCCCCATCTCTCACAATTGCTTGTCTCGGAGAGCGGCTGCTAATCATACCTTGCGAACAATTGGAAAGACAAATACAAAGAGATTAGAAACATGAAAAATGTTTCAACGTGTTCAATATCTTGTGCTACACGTTTGGAAAACTGCTTAAACTACTTTGCTCCCGCAGAGAAGCTGCTACCGAGTTGGAGACCTCTTCTGCAGGAACCATGCAATGGTCAAGCCGCAGTGCTTGAGTTTGCTTGTTGGATTGGTTTAGTGTTCTAGTCTTATTTGCGAGATGCTCGGAGAATCTCGTCTCGTATATACTGTATACTGTATATATGTGTGTTCTCTTATGTGTATATATATATATATCCGCCGCCATTACAAGCTTGCTTCATGGCTTGATCTCACTTCATGAGTTCCATCCAAGCGGCTGCAACGAATCTTGTCTCCCCTTCTGGCTTTTTCCCATAGTGTTCCTCCTTTACACTCTGCCTATCTCTGCCTAGTGTTCTTTCTCCTCTCTCTCTCTCTCTCTCTCCTTTGCACCAAGTTGACTCTCTGTAGGCCACGCATTGGCTGCCATTTTCCGGCCGGCGCAAATACGTGTCCTGTGTAGGTTGTTTGCAGCCTTGCTGCTGACTTCCTCACAAATACTTTGCACATGCCCAAGGTCAGCTCTGCGCTACTCTTGGTAGATCTGTGCCACCTGCGCGGAACGGGACAGCCCTTTGCCGATTCAGCTTCTTTACACAGTGCGAGCATCTTGTGCGCGGCGTTTGCTTTCTCTTCTATCAGGTTGTCCTTGCTAAGCGTTTTGTGGTTTGGCTTGAGGCACCAGTAGTGTGCCTGATCTCTGGACTCATATTGGCAGAAATCATGTAGGGCCATAATCTCTTCGGATGATTTTTCGGAGATAGTAAGACTCCCAACATTGTTAAACATTGCTAGCGAGAAAGTCCCTGTTAAAGGGAGCATGGGCTGGTTTAAGCGGCTCGATTAGGCTCAATGGTCAAGATGATTTGTCGATGACTCGTTCAAGCCATTCGAAGTTCTTGAACCATTCATTTACATATTCACTTAAGAGTCGTGTTGCATCCACCTGCAGACTCCTCCCTTCTGGCTATCGCTGGCGAATCAGTCACAGGCGCCACAGATTGCAGCCTTGCTGCAAATCGGCCAAATCCAAATAGATAAAACAAGAACTTGAAACTTGATCCCTCTCCAAGTTGCGATGTCTCTCTCGCTGCTGCGGGTGCCTCATTCCAAGAAATGCGTGCACACACGCGCACTTGGACAATCTGCAAGAGTCTGCACACAGTCATACAGCGTAAAAATCGCCTTGTGCTCCGCCGGGTAGATGAAGAAAAGAGGCCTTTGCTGTTCTGCTTCTGAAGTAGCACAGTGTGTGTGTGTGCCTGTGTGTCGGTCAGTCGGTCAGTCAGTCCGTCAGTCAGTCAGTCAGTCCGTCGGTCAGTCGGTCTGTCTGTCTGTCTGTCTGGCTGTCTGTCTGTCTGTCAGATTCAGATTCAGATTGTGTGGCCAAAGCAGTATACATGATATACATGATCGCAATGAATTGCGGTCAAGATGCAAGGAAACTACGAAGGCCGCACTATATATTGAGGCTGTTACCTGGAGCCAGTCTACTTTCACTCTGATAACTCTGCCACCTGAATCTCCCAAACCTGTTACGATACCTGCCAGTTAATCCAAATATACAAGTGTCCCTGCTGGTGAAGGAGCCCAGTCCTCATGAGTATCCTCTTCCGCAACTATGTTCTCTTTTCTTGCAATTGTAACTCTTTCGGTGCAAGGAATCATGTACCTCTCGCCCAAGAGGGAAATCTCTGGGCTGCCAGCCACAAAGGTGAACCGGTAGTCACCAGCGTAGTCGGCCAAGTATCCTCCTAAAAGCGCCAACCAAACAGACAACAAGACCACAAGGCTGCAGGGTGACCTCGCCTAGTGCAGCACTTCCAGACCATGCGAAACCAGACATCGATTGGATTGAGTTCCATCTGCCCCGTAAGTCCTTGTTTTGAGTTCAGTCATATTCAATGTCTTTCAGAATGTGTCAATCGTGTTCAATGCCGTGTTCCATCGGCTTGTAATATATTATATATATAACCCTCAAAACATGTGGCATTGATGGTCCACGTGGTTTGCTGCTGTCAAGTGTCACCTGTATACCTACTTGCCAACTCTGCTCCGAGAGTCCGATGGAACCAAATCCATGATGATTGCCCTGATGATAGGGCCTCCCAGTGAACTGCACACAAATTTTGCATTGTTTCTCACCAGCTGTGTTGTAACAGCGGCACTTAATTCATGCAGATGTTGGCAACAAAGTACATTTATAACGGTGGCCTCTGAAATACTGTGAAGAAAACGATGCCTCGAGCATTCATCAGTGCTCCTCGCAGCAGGTAGAGGGGCAAGACTAGGACCAGTGGTCCTTGGTGTCGGGCATTCCACGCTTTTCAGAAAAAATGCCGGCATGTCCCACCCATTCGAAGCACTTCTTGGCTGTCCCGCTGGACTAAGTAAGGAGCGAATGTAGCATAGTACCCAGAGGCACACGGTCCCAAGAAAATGAAAGAGCCTTAAGCCGACTTTGCAATCACGAAAAATTAGAAACATTGGCCACAGCTAGAATAAAAGGTCCAATTTCGTGGTCCACAAGAACATGTTTGATCTCACTGCAATTTTTGCGGTCTGTGTTTCTCTGGCACTCATCCAAAGCATAGACTTAAAGAAATGTTCAAGAATCACTGGAACACATGATGATACCACTACATACAGTTCAGAATTCACATACATATTGTGTTGTTGGGGGGCAAAAACCATTTGCAGCTGCGTTGAAGAATTATCCCAGTTTTGCAACCCAATAGCGGGTAGCAACTCAATTGGTTAGGGCACCCAAATTCTCCCACAATGTTTTTTTGCGTTGCTGAGGCTCCTAAGTTGAATCTAAACCCAGTTGCCAAACTCAAAGGCTCAAACTGCATTGGAGACGGACAGCACACAAAAACTGCAAAAGGTGTTGCTGACACAGGTGCATGGACTAATTATGAGTAAGCGCTGCGCATAAAAACATGTTTCGCGCCGCGTACTAAGAAAGCTTCGCAACAGAGACAGGAGAAACATCACAAGCGCAAAAACTGTTGTCTGCGCAAACAAACCAGACTAGCCTGCAGTTTGCCGCGCAGAGACAAATTTTGCGCAGTAAGCAACCTTCGCAACGGAGTCAAAAGCAAACCACAAGCCACGTTGCCGGCGAAGAAAATTCCTGGGCGTACGCAAGCGCCGTGGCCTTGCTGCGCGTAAAACGATATAGACCGTCGTAATTTTGCTCATGCATGTTTGCGCGTACTGCACTGCGGCCCTGCGTGGAAAGACTGCTTTGCAACAGAGACAGAAAGCACACCACGTGCACAATACCTGCTGCCGGCAGGGATGCGCCCAGCTAAGAACGCGCAACACGTTGCGTACAAAGGGTTTTGCGGCGCGTAGAAGTCTTTGCGACGGAGACGTAAGGCGCTCCGAAACATCCTGCGGCGCCGGAGACTGCCCTCAGCCTTACGCAAAAAGACCAACACAAGGAGATGAAAGAGCGCCAGGAAAATGATTGCGATGAGGGTTGCGACGACGATGATGACGACGATGACGCTGATGATGACGATGAGGATGATGACGATGATGATGATGAGCATAATAGCGCGAACCTGGTCCATAATCACGCAGCGCTCTTCTCACCGCAGCACAACGTTCTCTTCGAGCAGGGCGGAGGCGTAGCAAGTCGCGGCCACAGCAGGTAGCAGTCGATCGTTGCCCCATGGACGCACAGAAACGTGCAGTTGGACTTACCAGTCATTCAAAGAACCTTCGCAGTGCGCAGCAGACAACTTCTGTTCCAACCCCCGCAACAGGGCAAGCGCACTGTGCATCTGCATGTTTGCGGTGGCAAAAAGCCCGATCAGCGCCGACCTTCAGAGCCTCGTGACCGCCAAGACCATGGCCTCATTTGCCCTTCATGCACTTGTGGAGCCTGCAGACCTGACACGTGCGCACGCTGCGCTCTCTCCTAGTCTCCTACCATGTGGTGCAGGAAGCCTCTAGCGGCCACTACTGCGCGGCAATCAAGGAGGGCAGCCACAGGTGGGTCTACGACGATGACAAAAGAGCCCCAAATGTGCACAGCTCTGCCTGCTGTTGCGCATGACAACGTATGCCTCCTCTGGCTCACCTGCACTCCACATGGTGGGACTGAGATGAGTAATTCCGCGACTAGAAAATGAATCTCACAGGGCGCTTGGCAACACACACGCCTTCCTGCCATGTTGCCAAGTCCAAGTAGACCTGCTCAGGCGGCACAGGTATTTCAAGAGGAGAAGGCCTCAGAAGAGGTGAACGAAGAGCTCGTGCGAGAAGGGCGAAGTTCCTGTAATCGACGGGGGCCCTCGCCGCGGTCTTCAACTTCTGGTTGCCCGTCAAGAGGATTACACGGCAGACAGGGCAGTTGCGGTGCACCTTTCTTTTGGAGCTGTTTTGTTGCTTTGATTTTGGAACACATAGCCAATCACACCACACCGGAGTGGATGTCAGCACTGCACATTCTACGCCGATGATGGTCACGCCAGCTTCATCCTCACTGACCGACACGTTTTTGAACAAGGTATTTGATACTTGGGCAGTGCGATCTCTGCGCTTGAGCCATTGATGACCATCAATACGACAAAATCAACGGCGCTTCTCACACTACATGAGAAGGAAACCCAGCAACTGAAACGACGCTTCATCAAAAAGAAGATCAATTACCATGTGCTTTGTCTTCCTGGACACAGTTTCAAGATGTATGAAACTCCTTTACAGGATCAACAGACCTACCTGGGAGCGCAAACGCCTTAAAAACACACGCTTAAAGGAACCACGCCAAGAAGCTTACAGCAATGCACTGTACGTTTCAGGCAGACGAGACCGTGGTTCAAGAAGAAACTTTGGTCGCAAAATCACAAAATCAGAAGGTGGACACGTGGCAAACCTGTGTGTTTCTTATTGCCCTCTATGGGCTGGAGGCAGCCGGGGTGGATCAAAGAACCATTATGAATTTCAGCAAGACTATGCTATCCCAACTTTGATTCGTTGTTGCAAACCACCCTTTCATTTCACACCGCACACACAAAGACTCCTCCGCCAACACCAGTGGACACATCCGGTCCACCACCTCAGAGCCCGGATGGCTGGACAACAGCCCCAAACCTTTGCGACAGACCTTGTCTAGTGATCTGACAATACTACAACACTCCATAGATGCATTGGAAAATTTCTACGCGAGTACGCTCCAACTACCGCTTCCTCTGCAAAGGCGGGCTTAACCGTTTGCATGATGGTCCAACTTGGCTCATCATATAAGCAGCTTTTCCTGTCCTGATTTCCACGAATCCAAGGCCTCATCAACCAAACTGACATCAGCCAGAAGGTGCCTCTTGGACATCTTCGGCGCAGGTGATCTTCAACTTCTACGAGATGATCAATAAAGTCTCTGCAACTTTCTCACCCGTAGATGTGTGCTCGCCCCACAAAGCACTGACACGCCGCCTTGGTCAGACCTGTGGCTTTTGCAATCGTCAGTCACAATCCTTAGCCTCCCTTCTGAAACATCAACGAAGAGCATGGACGAACTTGGAGGGACTTGGCCAGATATGCAGAATGGCCAATGCTTTGCGGAACTCCAAACGCTCTTGCACGCGCTCCATTAAAGGAGAACATGTCTCTGCACGCTCATAGTTGGCTCCCTTTGCGCACCATGACCTCACCAATCTGAATGGAGCCTCAACGCTCTCAAACTAGATCTCGCGGCGCCGAATCCATCTCTGGCGATGACTCATGACCTTTCCTGAAGTGGATACTTGGCTGGCAAGGAGCAATTTCAACACACGCTCAAACACCAAGAGCTCTGTCAGACCTTGCGCTGCAGACCCCCAAGAAATGAGAATACATCTTTCGCGTCATCACGCAAAACCTTGCAACAGGGGAGCTCTGTACTTCCAGAACCTGCGCGCGTATCAACTCCGTACCAAAAGAACGCTCCGTGTGCTCGACGCACGCTACTGCAGCAGCCACTGAATGACTGAGCGCTGTGTCTTGCTCCAGCTCTCAGCTTTGCTTGTGACCTCGCACCACGGCCATCATGGAAGAGGACCAGGAGGTCAAGGCAGTGACGCAAGCTCTACATGCCTGGATGGAAGTCCATCGCGTCGAACACCAATCCTCCTCCGAAAGAATGGAAAAGGAAAAGGGACGGGAAGACCAAGAAGGAGGCGCCCAAGGAATCACCAACGCCCCAGTCCTCGACGACAGACTCTCAAAAGACCACGCCACCGGCATAGCGCATGAGTTCGGCCTCAGCACTGGACAAAGTCGCAAAGGGCTGCTGCTTGCTCTCCCACTGGACCGGAGAGCCATTAAAGTGCGCCAAGACTCCCTGCTGGCTTAACGAAGCAGTGGAGCGGATCACGTTGACGCGAAGTCAAGGTCTACGCAGATCTTCATACGCCACGGAAGAGCGTAAAGAAAGAGAGAGAGAGAGAGAATGAAAGAGAGAAATACATAAATAGATTTTAAATAGATAATAAAAAATAAATAAATAAAGAAATAAATAAAGAAAGAAAGAAAGAAAAGAAGATGATGACGACGACGATGACGATGATGATGCGGAGGAGGATGACGACAATGATGATGAGATGATGCATCATCATCATCATCATCATCATCATCATCATCCTCATCAACATCATGGTTGGACCGTTGACCTTGGCAGCCGTTCTTGAAGGAGACCTCTTAGTAGGTGCTTTCGGGTAAAAAAGACGCGACAGCAACACAGACTGAAGCAATATCGTCGCAGGCAATCGGAAACTGCCAGCCAGGCGTATGCGATCAAAGCACGAAGCACACTCAGAAACAATTGCACGGATGGTTGATCTGAACCATCACACGCCTTCGCGCGCGCGTGTACCTGCGCCATGGAAACAGCTTACGTACAACCCGCGTGCTATCGCGAATTTTAAAAATGCGAACCCGAAGGTGTGCTGGACATTTATACAGATGTTCAATTTCTTCCTGCGTTCGTAATTATTGAACCATTGTATTTTCATGTGTATTCATTATTGCCAGGGCGCATCTTTCAGCGCTTGCAAGACAAAAGTGCTCAGCGCCAAGCGAGACAGCAAAAAGCCGACCTAAATGCTTGGAAAGTCTCCGACCTCAGTTCTGCGCCGTGCTTATTTACTGTGCCTCCTGAAATGAGGCATATGCGCAAGCAGCAAGGACTGAGAATGCGGCACAGCTCCACCTGAGGTGTTAAACTACGCCTTCTAGGCGCTAAATATGTCAACGTCTGCGGACGTTCAATGATGTGATTCCTGTATAGTGGCAGGGCCACTGAGGTTCGAGCCATTACAGAAATACAAAAAGGATAGGCAAATCCAAGCACACCTTTGATGTTCAAGTGGAGTGGCGCTTGTGGCCGAACGTGGAAGTTGGACAATATGTTGGAGTCAGGCGGCACACCTCAAGCGGTGTGAACTTGTAGTCTATGCGGAAGAACAACGGAAAGAACTTCACCTCGGAGTATCAAGAAACTCAAGACGATCTATCTTTTGCCTGCATCAAGCTGCAAGCTGGGTTAAACCTGCGCCTTGTCCATGGTCACCATCTGAAACACAACTTTGAATTCTTGCTGCTGTCCAGGACGCCGTCATTCCAGCACCAAAAAGAGTAATGAATGCCATAAGTTCGATAATCCCTGCGACCCACCACCTGCAGCGGCATAATCACAGCCTTTCTCATCATTCGCGGCCTACTGCCCACTCTGCCAAAATGGACAAGTCACAACGGCTTCCGGAGTCATCGCTCTGCGCCGTGGCGTCCGTGTGGCACAGATGTTTCTAGCTCTTCGTTACAGTCCAACGCCTCAAAGGTATGCGCAAATAGCAGCGGTCAAGGTCTACTTGAGAAAAGGTGCTGGAGTTGCTGCTCTCACCTGGGTCAGAGCTGCACGACCGCAGTAAAGCCGATGCTCGGGCTAGTAAACATCTTCTATCGAAAATATTGTTCTATGCCTCTATGCTATATACCTGATACCTCTGCGAAATGTACAATGTAAACTGTATGTCTGTGTTGTCGATAGACCCCCTGCCAGCCCTGGTTTGGGACATGGAGCATGGATCCCAAGTAAGTGGCCTTGGGGCATTCCAGACAGCCTTCGTTAAGCTTTTAGCTCTGACAGCGCAGAGACAGGATGACCTATCATTCCTCATCTGCAAACGACCGAACTGACATAACCCCCACGTAGGAAACGGCTCAGGGTCTCCGACGTCGTTGTAGGAGCTGGGAGGCATGCACGTGATGCACCCATTTACTACCTTGCATCTTCTGCGTCACCAACTCACAAAAAAAAATACCTCCTTTGCAAAGTTAAAATATCAACAGGCTTGACATCCACTTTGCCCGGCCTGCCCCCCAGACCCCCTAAAGACTTGCTTCGCAAACACCGGTTATGCTCGGGTTGTCTACACCCAGACCCCGCCCTATCAACACGTCTTGTCTGAAATCAGCTCAGAGATGCGGACAGCTCGAGTATCTTGCGATACTACTAGCGCCCTTGCTCCTAGTAGCGATGCCCTTTGCTGCGCTTGCTCCTAGTAGTAAGGCCAGGAGCCCCTAGTCGTTCTGCGTCATCTTTCGAATCGCAAAAAACAGCATCATATCACGCTGACAAAGGGCCAAGAAGAGGGCCGGCAACCCATCCCCAAAGGAACAGGGAATACTTTACTTAAATAGAAATATATACATACATATACTGTAGTATTTTTGTATGTGTATCACCATGCGCACCGGGATCAGCACGGGAAACGTGCCCGGCGTTGCGCCAGGCACCCTGACCTGTGTACAAAAAGAGCGCCAAAAAGTGAGACCAAAGAAAGCAACCTAAATCAAAGGGGTCATCCATGTTGCAAGTGTCCTCCCTGCACCGAGCGCAAAGACTCGCGCCAAGCGCAGCAAACAGTCGTTGCCCAGACACACTTGGGCACCAATGATTGACCCTATATGGCATGGTTCGTCCGGCAGCTTTTGCCAACGTAGTCGAGAAGGCGCCTGCAAAGACTTGAGCCTCATCGCACGTGGCCAAAAGGTTCACAGCACAACGGATCTTCTTACGGTACTCGAAATACGTTGCAGGCTGGGGATCCCCATCAAGGCACCGTCCCTGTTGATGGAAAAGTACCGTCAGCTCACAAAGCGAGGTAACACTGTCAAGACTTTCTTGCCACCTGAGGCCTCGAAGAAAACAACAAATGGCCTGCCACTCACGCAATGAGCCAGTCCACTTCACAGGTTGGCTGACATGGCGGGGAATCTTCGGCTTCCACCCAAACAGACAAGCATGCCAGTTCCAACGCCATGCCGGAAACATGCGCTGACAGCTGGCAAGGTCAATGTCACCCTGGGTGTCAGGAGCTGGTTCAACACAATGCGCATGACAGCAGGTTGGAAATCAAAAAGGAGAGGCCGGGGCGCGGACACTAAAGGGCACCTGCGAATCAAGAACCACGGTTGCTCGATGATGCCCATCAAAGCAAAATTCGCACAGAGCTCATGCAGTTGAGGGGGACCAGTGAGCTCATGAAGGGCCCCACACTCGTAAACCAAGTGCTCCATGCATTCCTTAGCGGATTGGCAAAAACCTACACAGGCTGGTCGTAGCCCAACCGGCCACTGCAAGGCGATCATTGGTTAGGACACAGCCGACAACAACAGAGTGGAAGGAAGAGAAACCCCTTGTAAATCCTCATGTTGCTTAATTAGCCCAAAAAAGGGCAGTAACAGCAGTGGTCCAATGGTCAATCAGACCGGCAGGCTTATGGAAATCCATATGAGTACGATGGTCAACCAGCTGGTAGGCAGCTTGCCTAGCAATTTGCTTCAGGAAAGGCCGAATCTCCCGAGGTTGGAAGTGTGTGATCGCCAAGGGGAGGTGAGCCTGTATGTATATATCATATATCATATATAATATGTGTGCGTGTGTGGAACAACGAAAGCGTGCTGTAGCAGCCAAATAGATGTAGAATTCGAAAACAGCTTTTGGCAACACTTCTGATCAAACGACCATATTTTGCAACTATAATTACTCTCTTGCACCAAATTTCTTCGCCAATTGCCCTGTGAGGTCATTCCACTCAAATGATAACTAGTAACTGGTAACTGGTCCAAATGTTCAATGTTAAAAGAACAGTGGCTTGGCCAGGTGATTTTTAAAGGCTCCGCTGCCTATCGCTTGCAACTTTGCTTAAAGCGAAGCTGCCTTCTGTCTTCTCCAAAGGTGGTACATCACTCATTCTCAATGTCCACATCACACCGGGCCATAAAACAGCACCGGAAAGGGTCACAGCTTTCAAGAGTGAGGTACCCCAATGGTTCCTGAGGGACGGTGCGCATGAATGCGAGGCCTCGCACTAAAGCTTTAGGCAGAAGAATCTAGAATGCGCAAGAATGAGCCAAGGAACTGCCCAGAGAGTAGAAGCATGCAAGCTTGCAGCATTGGGCCTGTTGCCTGAGCAATCAGCCTCAGCGATGTCATTCTTGACAACACCTTGGTCCGCAGTTTTCTTTTGCCTGTTCTTTCGGGGCTCCAAAATTCGCAATCAAGGCTAAGAGTCAGCACTGTGGTTCGGGCTGCTGAAGCTGCAGAATCTGCTATGACAACCTGTGAAGTGCCTCATGTCTCAAATGTATCAAAGGCCTCAAGACCTAAAAGGACCTCAAAGGACCTCGAATCCAATCGTCCTTTGTCGTCCTTTCTTGTTTCAAGCCTTTTTGAGCCTTCCATCCTTCATTGCTTCGGAGAGGCTATTCCAGCACTGTGAGCAAGGTGCCCAAACAGCCATGCCAATGAACAACATCGGCACACTGCCCGAAGCAATCCCAAGCAACAGTAAGAACAAACCTCATGCTGACAAGAAGGTAGTGTGCAGCTCATGAAGAGCAACAAGCACAGCTGCTTACAAGGAACCAAGCGTCCAAAAGAGGAGGTCTCCCTTCAAAAGCCGAACCCGAGACATCTTGTCAGACCTAGCCACTCAACGTTGCCCACTGCAAGAACCCTTACTGGCATTGCAGTGAGCACAGAGAATTGTCCCCAACACTAACCAGGCCATCCGTTAAAAGTCAACATCAATATATACAGATTTGACGAAAAGCATTTGTCACCATTGTCAGTTGTCACAATATGACACAACTGAAAGCAAGACGCAAGGCTCCAATAGGATAGGCAAATGCCAGTTGCAACACTCCTCGCCTCACATTGGGCACAAGAGTAGTCTTGTCATTGTGAAGATATGTGAAGATACTATACTATACCTTACTATACACTATACACTACCATCTTGATTTGGGTGCTGCACGTGGATTCCACTGCGCCCACCAGCTTGTTGCCATGCCTCGGAAACACAAATGGCAAGGCTACCCTGCGAGAAACTGCAGGATCAGGGGGCCACCGGTGCACTTGATCATACTGGGACCAACTTCTGGCAAGACACTGCCCACCAATGTTCAGCAAGTAAGCATCGAAGAGAGGTCCCAAAGTGACAGCACTCCTTGTATCAGAGGCAAGAAAGCCAGCCTGCCAGTCCACAACTCGTCTAATATGCAAACCAAGAGTCAAGGACACGCTGAAGAAGAGTGAAATAAAAATGCAGCGAATATTCTTGCGGTACTCCTGACACGAGCGGAAAACCAGACGACGAACGAATCCTAGGGGAGATACAAGCAGCTCCACATCCTGCGAATAGTCTGCGGTAAGCCGCTCATTAATCTCCATCGGCTTGGCGCTGGGGTCATCTCATCGCAGTGTTTCTCCAAAGAGATTATATATATATATATATTTAAATTTGCAATCGTGGGGAAGGCCTTTTGGACATGACCGAAGAAACCATCTTAATTTCCTATGACATGCCTCTCACTCTCTTCAGCATTGTGTGACATGAGTACTAGAGTACTCGCTTGGTAGTCTGCTCCGCCGTGAACCGCAGCAGCTCATCTGGCCACCCAAAGCATATTGCTTTGGGTCTCCAAAACAGTCAGCGACAAACGGAACAGCAGCACTTTCTTCTGCATAAAAGCTTCATTCATCAAGCTTGCATGGTTCTTTTCCGCAAGCGTTTCAACTCTTTAGGTCACAGAATTTGAACAGCAAAGCTGCACACTCTCAAGTGTTCAGGATCAAGAAGACCTTGAATGGTATACGGCGAAAGTTGTTTGAATTGATAATTCTGCAGTATCTAGAGCATTGGTATCTGGGTATGATTGTATCTCTGTGAAGAACCTCATTGCAATGCCAAGCAACCAGGATAACAAAAAGTACAATCGCACCACCCACAGAGTAGATTTGCGCCCTGGCGCATAGTGCTTTTGGCTGTCCGACTTGAGCGATTGTCATGCAAGGCTTGCCCCTCAACTGCTGTAGCCTAGATTAACTCCCACTCAAGCTGCTGTCGACAATGACATGCAGGCTGCTCTTATTGCTTGTCTTCAGCAGCGTGCCCATACCCTTCGTCACGACATCCATTCGCTCCATCTGACAAGGCATGCGTTTCAGGCACTTCATACTTCATACCTACGAAAAAATGAAGTCAGTCTGGCAAGTCTTATTGGTGAGCTGCCTCTTTCTCAATGTCCTGGTTCAGCCTCAGCTTTTGGTTCGAAACTCTAAACTCCAGTATGTAGAAAGCCAAGTCCAAAGCTCCTCAAGTAACTTTTGTTGACCTCCGTGGACTCGAATCTAGGCACTCTTTGAACTGCAGTGAAACACGAGCGTCAGGCTTTCGAGCTCCCCATTGATGGTGTGCGCCACCTGTCTCACAAACAGAAGGCAATGTGAACAATATGAACAATGCGGTTATGTTATGATTGAGTGTAGGCTCTGCCTGGCCGAGTCTTTGCGCTCCTTGCTCCAGAATCTGAAGCTCATCCTGCCAAAAAGGCCACATGTCATGCTTCAATCCCTTTTCAAGGGAAGTCTGGCCGTCCTCTTGCTGAGCAATGAGTTGCTTCTGCAACAACCTCTGCTCCTCCAAGAAGGCTTTGCTTTCTTGAGCCAATTGCCTTGCCAGTGGTAGCGTGATTTTGGCAGCTTGAGATACACGCTACTTGCAAAAGAAAAGCCTTTGAAAGGTTCTATGAAAGTACCACTGTAGGCCTTTGTTGGGTCTCCTCAGCTTGCTTCTGACGCTTTAGAAGCATTTGTTTTTGGTCCTGGTCAGTGTTTGCTTGACAAGCATTCTTGGGGGCAACAACGAAATTGGTCGATTGCATGCATTCTGCTAATAGACAAAGCACAACAATATAAATAGCCATCAAAAAACACAAAGAAAACCCTTGATTATATAAACGAAAGAAACTGCAAGCATTGAAGACCAACTTCAAACGAGCATCAATGGACCATGACTATTGATCTTCCAAGCTTAACCGCTCAAATGCGTAAAGTCCATCACTGACGGACATTGATCTTCCAAGCTCGCCTCATCGATCTTGTTTTTCGCTGCCGGACTCGACAAACTCACATGGATCTCCCGGTGTGCCGCTTGGCCTTGGTTCCATTGGTTCCCAACAATCCACAAGTCCTATCATGATCGGCCTTTGCGGAACACGGGCAACAATGAAGCAGGGATGGAGCTTGTACAATGAGAAACGACGATGAACCTGTGTGTGCATTGTGTATCGTTGCGTCACTACAGTAGATCTACGGTAGTAGGGCTACCTCTTCCACTCAAGCACAAAAGTATAAAGTTATGGGAGTAATGCACAATGTTTAGCGGCAGCATACATCATGTGTCTACATACACATGGTAAACAGTGAGGTTTATGAACACCTTCCCTTCAATGCAAAGTGTGTGAAATTGCTTAACCACCTGGCACTGCAAGTGGGAGAACCCAAAGCAAGGAGCTCTCATCAAGTAAGTCGAGCACTGACTGCCAGAAACTCCTGGAAGGCAGAAAATATGGCGCGGGTGTTTCTTGGACATGACTGACTGTGGCACTGAAATCCAAAAGTAAGCATGAGCATGGAGCACGGCAGTAACTTATTTATTCCCTGTTCAAACATGCAAAACTAACAAAAGCCTGAGGTGTCCATTCTATCTGCACTTACATGGTCGATGTCAATGTCCCTCACGCGGCTTGGCCAACGAGATAGAGCATCTCTCATTGGTTCCTGGTTTCCTGGTTTACCATGTATGTCCTATGCCATATGCTCATTCTTTCTGGGTCTTTGAAACCCGGTCTTGGAAACCCGGTCAGCCACACTTTGCTTTCCTTCCTAATGCTTCCACCTCTGGATAAAATTAAGTCGATATGGTCAGTGTGGTGTGCCCTCAAATTTCACAGAAGCTTTGCATGGCGTGCTCAGCGGAAACTAGGTGCAGTGTATCGAAATTTATTTGCCGGCGTTTCTCCCCAAGCACGATGGGTCAGTCTTGAAACTCTTTTCTTGCATTGTCTTATGCTGTCATGTCGAATCAAAGCTTCTTTGCAAATCCTTGCGAGCTGTCAGCTGAGCATCGCTTAGGTGAAAGCGGTCTCTGTTGTCTTCAACTGCCTCACACGGGAACTGACTTCCAAAGAAGTCATAATGAGAAGCGAACTGCTCCGCTCTTCAACGCCTTGATGCTTGCGTCCACCTTGTGGCATACATCGTCAGACATTGTTCAAACCACAAGCAACCAGGTCAGCCTCTGCAAGGTCAAGAGACAGCTGGGACAGCTCCGCTGCAAGCTCCTTTTGCAGGTCCTTACAAATCTGGCCCTAATTCGCACCAAACATATCAGAATATGTAAGATTGACCCTACCCAAACTCCCATCGATCGATACTTGCGAACGTCCGATCGCATCCCAAGACCTTCTGTACGGAGTTGGAGGCCTGAAACTTGCGACTCTCCGCTGTATTTTCTGCTTGCAGCAATCGTTGCCACCTAAGCCAAACCAGGCTTTAAGCTTCATAAAGATTCAACGCTTCCAAGTCAAAAACTCTTTGTGCATGCTTCGCGCCTCACAAACCAAGCTATCCAAGCTAGAAGGAAAAGCACAAGGAGGTGGAGTTGAAACAAATTTGGCCTTCCGAATGGCAGCCTCCACCTCATCCCGGGCCTTGGCTGGAAGGTCTTCTGCTAAGGTAACCATGATATGTTTAAAGTTATCTAATGCCCCCAAAACCCCCTAACTACAGCAATCATGAGCAGGTCTCCCAAGTCTCCCAAGTCTTCAGTTGCGTCAAGGCTGTGACGACATCGAAGGGATCGGTGGAGGTGGATAGCATGGTTTGTTATCGAATCGACAAAGGTCTTTGGTGTTATCCCTCTATAACTGGTTTTTGACGCTGGCCTTCGCTCCTTTTCTTGAATAAACAGAAAAAGCTTGCTTCCTCTCACTGTAATGTGTTGTCAAAATACAAGCCTATTCTGGCAACTATTTGCTTCTGTCGTGGCATTGTACAATTCCCAGCCCCATCAAGATGTCGAACCGCTGGCTAATGTGATGTTTCCTTCTCTGCCATAGACATTGTAGGCATAGGCTATAGGTATGGTGTTGCCAATGCTGTGTCAGTTTCGCTCCGTCTTCCTATATGCTCAACGTATATAATCTGTCGCACAAACCTGGAGGACACTGGTCAATGCTAGCTTAACCTGTTACAAAGGGCTCTGTGCAAATGCAAATGTCAGCTCTGATCCAAGCGCTTTGCAAGATCCAGAGGATAGTTCGTGATGTTTGGCGCATCAAGTCACATGCTTGAATGGGTGCAAAACTCTTTTCTTGACACCTTGTTCAGAACCCACTCGCCCTTTGGGTCGAATGGGACATACTACCAAAGCTGAGAAGCAATTGAAGACTTTAATTATTCAACACATCTCAAACAGTGCACCACAGGTTTAACCAATGTATCATGTATCTGTGTTCATAGTGCAATGATCTGCAATCTTAGCATTGCAATCCAGCTTCCACGAATTAGTCTCGTTTGTCCTTGTACTTCAAGGAGGTCCTCGAGTCTGCGAAATGCCCGACAGATGGTAAAGACTCCTTGAATAAGGCTCTTGTAAAGGGATCCTATTGAATCTATTGAAGGGGCCCTTATCACTTATCATTCTTTGTTTTGTCACTCACATGCTAAAGCATGTCAAACCCAACATCCATGAAGTGGTTTGGCATCGAAAACTAAGAGCAGCACTCACTCTGGGATTTTAGTCTCGAGAGTCTCAAGGTCATTCTGGACTCACCCCATGGACCGAATGGCACTGGCCTAGGAGATGAGGATGAAAGCGTCTAGGAAGCGTGTGCCAGAAAGAACACCACACTGGTTTATTGAGGATGTTGCTTGACCAGGCCAACGCTGAAGCTGTCTGTAAAACCTTTGGACGAGTGACTATGCACACTCGTGCCATTGTCTTCAAAAAACACTGCTGGCACTACTGCACTTAGAACAGCACCAGTTGTAAGGCACATTCGTGCCCTTTTGGACAAAAGCACTTGCCTGTAGTCACTCTCATCAAGCTGAGTTAAAAAACCTTCGAATCAAAAGCGGGGGGGTCCTCCGCGACACCGTCTATGGACGCCCAGATGGCACGTAAATTTATTGTAAATCATGCTACTAGAGAAGGCTACAATACGGCCATCGGCAAGTGAAACGCATCCACACCCAAGCAGCAAGTGCTGAAGGCCGCTAGAATGTTATAGACAATTGTTTCTATAAGTGTTGAGGACTGCGTTTTCACCATTGCAGACCCTTCAAAGAGATACTGTAGGGCCAGGACGGACCAAACATGCAAAAACCAAACGTTGGCATCTGGAAACCGATGACGCAGTTCCACACAAATCTGCAAAGTGTGTGTGTGTGTGTGTGTGTCAACACCTGTTCCAAAGGAACGTGTTTGCACACTAGCAGGGGGCAGTAGCCCACTCATGAGTCTACTGCCAAGGACGCGGCTCATGAGCTGGGAGGATATCGGAATTGATCACTCCGACGTACTTGCACATTTTTTTAAACATCCTTAAAGCGCTAATGAATTTCCTCCGTCTCACCCATGTTAAACAATACTGTCCTTGCGGACTCCTCCACCCTTCCGTTTTGCAAGTCAAGGCCTAGCTCTCAGTAACGTAAAGTGCGAGCATCAGGGAGATCATAACTGATACTGCTCTTGCGAGCCTTTATCTAAGTGTGTCTCGCCACAGAGTCCCACTGTGGGCTGCGGTGTGATCCCGAGCGAGGGGCGAAGCATATGCACATACCCTTACGGGTGAACCTCCACTGATTCCTCGGCCTGCTCGTGGACTTCGTCGGCTCTAGTGTTCTGCTGGAGATTGCTGATCATATGCCGCAGGGCTCACTGAAACAATTTCCAAAAAATGACATACCATGCAGCTAGGTATTCATAGGGTGTAGGCTTTGCTGCTAAGTATTCCTTGCTGCTAAGTATTTATAGGTTCAGCCAAGTATTCACCGTTTAGTTTGGTTCTTTTTCTCCTGCTGTTGCTCTTCGTTTTCTAGGTCTTCTTTCTTGCTAAAGGCTATTTTTTAGGTGTAACCAGGCCTTTTAGTCAAGAGTGCGCTGATATCGGCATTTTGTCCGATGCCTTCGGGCCTGAGCTGACAAACCCCCCCCCCGGCACCCCCTTGCACCTTTCTTTTCTTTCCTTGCCTTCTTCGTTTGTCTTGTTCTTTCTTTCAGGCTTGTTAGGTTGACATCCAGGCCCGTTTAGTCAACGCACTCCCACACCTTATTTCCCCCCTTCCCCTTCCCGCGGAAAAAGAGAGTGCGCCGTTCCGGCTTTTTGTGTGTGTGTCAACACCTGTTCCAAAGGAACGTGTTTGCACACTAGCAGGCGAAGCTACTCATGAGCTGGGAGGATATCGGAACTGATCACTCCGACGTACCTGCACATTTGTTTTGAACCATCCTTAAAGCGCTAATGAGTTTCCTCCGTCTCACCCATGTTAAACAATACTGTTCTTGCGGACTCCTCCACCCTTCCGTTTTGCAAGTCAAGGTCTAGCTCTCAGTAACGTAAAGTGCTAGCATCACAGGGAGAGCATAACTGATACTGCTCTTGCGAGCCTTTATCTAAGTGTGTGTGTGTGTGTGTCAAAGCTTGGTTTGTGAGACGCTTAGGGCAGTCTGGACTCTGGAACGAAGCCTGGCGAAACCCAAGCCAAAAACAGCGGAAGCAGCGCTCTAACAAACTTTATCAGCCTCGCCACTGAACATCCAACTGCACATTCCTGTTGGAAGCGCTGCATGGGTTTGCCCAACACCCTACCCCATTACAAGTTCTAGCATTCCCCACCAAACCAAATGCGCGCTCCGCCTTTTGTCGGTCAGGGTAAGCTGCACAAGCATGTGCTGCCCTGCTCCAACCAATTACAGACCCACGCATGCACACACCACCTTGCACTTGGAGAGTGGGTGGGGACTTTAAGCAGAGCACCTGCCAACCATTTCTGTAAATCTGCGGCAGCTTCAGGCTAGAACAAGCAGGATGAGTAAGAATCCAAAAGGAAGCACGCGGCCATCTGACATGCAATTGTTACGGCCCATCAGTAACCCAGAGCCGTGCACAATCAAACAACCTTTAAGTTTCCCTAAAAATCTAGGAACCAAAAAATGATTAGTGTGAGCGCTTCTTCAAGGAAGCGTGAGCTATCCTGCGTCCAGTTGCTAGGAGCTTACTCCCTTACACAATTAAGTAGGCACCTACTTAATTGAGTAAGGGCGGGCTCTAAGAAAATGCAACAACTGGGACATCATGTGCCCAGCAATGTGCCCAGGACCCGAAAGTCTGAAAGTATAAACACACCCACCCAGGCCACCCGGGCCACCTGGGCCACCAGGCCCAGCAACAGGCTCAGCACTTTCCGACAAGAGCCTTTCTCAATGGACAATAGATTCCATAGGCTCTATCTTGGAGTGCATCAGGGTTCGCTGCCATACCCACCTTGCCGCCTTGCCTAACGACTTCGACCCGGTCGCTGTACACTGGGATACGTAAGTAGGCTCACAAAAAGAAATGCTGGACGAAAGCCAGCCGCGTCCTTTACAGTAATTGGTGGTCATCAAGAGTCAAACCAGTGAAGCTCAGGTTATCCAGCTACAGCGGAGATCCTGGGTCTTTACCGCCCATGCCAAGAGTGATGTCCGGAAGGAACAGCCGCCCAAAAAGGATTTGTTGATGAAGCTCCTGTTTTGTCTGCGCGGGACAGGAGCAAACCCATCAGAAACGCTATGAAGTATGACAATGAGCCTGTTTCACTGAGTGGTGACTTGCTTGGACCTAGCGGTTGGGTGGCCAAATTGTGGTGAGTTTGAGCTAGCTCTTTGAGCTAGCTAAGCAGCAAGTATGAGTTGGGCTAAGCGTTCGAGTGGCTCTGTCGCAACTAGCTTGCTGAATTGAATACGCTTAACAAGCCATGCGTGAACTAGCCGAGTCACCGCTCGAAAAACGGGAACTAACCATGCATTGAGGTGCTAGTGTTCAAGCTAGTTAGTTCAATGATGTGCCGTGTAAATGTTGAGATTGCCATGTGTTGGGCTGAAATTGACATGTATGAGAGTATTCAGCTGGCGACATGTTGAGTGTGGGTATTGTTGGCTGGTTTGGGGATTGTTCACGTCAGTCTCACATGAAAGAATGCTTCATTCTGGGAAAGGGCAGCTTGTGACAAACCTTCAAACAACTCATGCCTCATAACCACAGTCACAGTGCCACGGCGGACACCACCCACAGCCAAACCCCATTGAAGTTGCCAACAGTCAACCATGCACCCACTCACAGGAAATGATCTGCTGCAAAACACTACAGTTCCTGCAGTAGCACTAGCTGCCGCTAGCTGCTTCCAGAATGCCACGTTTCTGATGTCATTCTGTGTCCAAGCGTCAGAGACTTGCCTATTGAACATGCTTTTTGTCTACATTGAAGTCCTCTCTACTTCCGACCAAAACACTCTCCTGTAAAATGTGCAGATGCAGGCGGTAGAAAATGTCGCAGTAAAGGCCGCTGCCACACTTAAACTGAGACGTCCACGCTCCAGTGCCGTCCGTGCGCCAGTTCGTTTGAGGCATCTGACCTCGCAGTGCAAGTCCAAAATGGGCATCAAGAACCAAAAGTAGGTAGAATCAAATCGCCTCTCTCTCACTCACCTCTGTCAATTCAAGAGCGGCTAATGAGCGGCTAGACTTAGGGGCTAAACAGCGTCACCGACAAGACTTCAAGCAAACAAAGGGCAACTCGAGGCAAAAAGAATCATAGTCGCTAGTTCTAGCCACCAATCTGTTGCAAAGCTGGAGGCCGGACTCTCCGGTTGCGGTTTCGATACTCTGCCAGCCTTTTGCTTATCTGTTGTCATGACCCTTGCTTGGTGATTTACAGTGAGCTGACGTGTAAACCATGGCGTGTTGCGCGTCACTGGTGCACTCTCATGCACAACACAACACAATGTTTTTCACAACACAAACAGGACCGGATGCAAAGAGGGTTCACTAAGAAACAAGAATCAAGGATGCGTCCCAAATCACCTCTTGATGCCCTTCAAGGTCAAGCATGTACTAAGTATCCATCTGAGTCGCAAGGATGATCACAGTCATTCGATCATGCCTTCCCACCTCCAACTTTTGCAACTTACGCTGCATTAGATCAGAGTAGCACCTCTAGGTCATCTAGGTATGTTATGTTGCTTCAATCCTGCTGTGGCCAGGAGCACTCCTCGACGCGATGATGGAGGGCAGGAAAGAGCAGCCAGATGGAGTTGGGCAAGCAAATGCGGTTATGGTGGTTGCAAAGAAAGAGAGAGAGAGAGAAGGGGGAGAGATGGATTAGCACCGCTCTGGAGATCAGAATGACCGGAACCTATCTTGCTTCCTGTTGACAGCCTGTTGGAATATGAAGCTGGAACAACGGCACGAAGAAAGGGAGATAAAGGGTTGACAATCAACAGAACCCTGTGCTTTCGTGCTTCTGCGACAGAATCTTCGACCCTTGTAGGTCGCGAAGTTGGATGCGCTGTGGTCGAGGTCCTGGACTTCAATCTACTCTGGACTGGCCAAGCTGGGTCAAGCACAAGCATATTTTCTGAGCCAAGCCTTCTTGCCTTCCACCGAAGGGATAGCAGGTCCGAAGCGTTCCGTCCGAGTCACCATGCTCCCAATCTGCAAGCCATGGCTCTCAATAATTGCTTCTTTTATGAGCAGTTCAGCTCACTCTTTAGTGTTGGCAGGATTCCAGTAACTGGGTATGGTGGGTGGGTTGCCTTGAATTTGTTGCCACGAAGAGGATGCATATCTGTCATTACCTGCAAGACGTCATTTCCGGAAAGGACCTTTTAGAATGTCCCAAAGCATTAGCAAGTAGAAGCAAGAAGCAGATTCTCTTCAGCGCAAAATTCATGCAGCACCTGCCTCTGCAAAGTGCTCTGGACCTTTCTGGCAGTAGCCAGGCCTGGCTCTAGATCTCTACATCCAATCAGCGATTTTCATTAACTTGCTTGCCACTTGGGGTCCCACCCGTGCTCTTTCGAAAAGTTCTCACCATCCTGGCACTAGTCAGTCAGAGTGCTCAGCTACTGTAGTAGACACCAGCACTTTCAAAAAGCTCTCAACAAAGTGGTCGTCATTTAAAATGCTTCGCTACACCGCTCCGGCTCTGAGGCAAAGACGCAGCCTGGAAGCTGATCAGGGTGAAGCCTTTTGAAGGTTTACCGACAAGTACTGTGGCAGGAGTAGTAAGTGAGAAAAGTTGAGTAAAGGTATCGAATCCAAAAAAGGTCCAAGACTTCCAAGCTCAGCCATTTTCAGCCTTCGGGCCTAAGCCTCCTGCAATAAGTCTGAACGGCCAGTACCTTCACGTTTGAAAGAGAAGAAGCCGGCAGAGGACGAGATGTGTTCAGCCTCACAAGCACCAGCGTCACTCGCACACCATGAGTCCCCCGTGAGTCCAATCGCCTCAGGAAACCGTATGTGGCTAGAAGCCAAACATGTACTCCGCCTTAGCAACCAACTGAACTGGCTGTGATAAGCCCCGTAGCACGCAATACGAGGACAAACCCCACCTTGTAAGGTCTCAAAATAACAAACAATATTCACAACATCGACGTAATCCACAGGCGTTGGGAGCACTGCATGTGTCTGCTCGGAGGCTGAATGGGTGAGCGCTGCTTTCGCTCCAGCACCTGGGGGGGTCGTAGCTCAGCTTGGCTTGACATGTTTTTTGCAGATTTGCTTCAGCACTTTTCGTTCATTCAAGCCTTTCAACATGTCTATCATTCTTGAAGGTGACACTGATTTGGGCCGGGAAAGTGCGTATGTGTTCATCTTGTGAAAGTCTAGTGTGTAACTCGTTTTTTGCTGAGCATCGTCCACAGGGTATTCTGACAGTGTATATATATATACTCTTGGCAATACGCTTGCCAAAAAACAGTGCTGAAAAAGAATCCTAAATGATGTTCTTTTCCACTAAACAAATCCAAGCGCTCATGTCTGTGCATAAAAATCAAAGACTGGATTGGAAACCATAATTGGACAATATGATTCGGACAATGCTGCCTGGTTCGGAAACAATGAGTCAGAAACTATGACTCGAAAACTGTATTAAAGGATCACATAGGGATTGTTGTTTGAGACAAATTCCAAATGTTATTTTTTGTTAGGGGGTAGGCCGCTAGTAGCTAGGTAGGTAGTAGCTAGAGGTAGTTACTAGTAGCTTAGGTAGCTACGACCTAGGAAGCTACTACTTAGGACGCAGGATAGCTAGCGCTAATGATTTAGTTCCTAGATTTTTTGGGACTTTTAAGCAATGAAGCTACACTAGTACCTAGGAACCTCATTGGTCCCCTCCCCCAACCCCCACCCACCCACCTTCTTTTGGTTTCTGTGTCGCAGCTTTCCGATCGCGGCGTTTGAGTCGGAATTTGTTCATGTAGGTACGGTATAACTTGCCTGTTTGAATGCTCTTAAGACTCTTGATTCCAAGGAAATACTTGAAAAACTCTCTGGAGAAGACTCCGCAAATGCCGAACCAGCTACCATGCCCACAACAAACAATGTCTATCACAGTGGCAGAGATCTGCATTTGGTAGCTCAATATGCTGCGTTTTAAGCAAGTGTGGGCGTTCTTTCGTTCTGTATCTTGGCCACATCCTGCCACGCAATCTTGTTCCACTGCATTTGTCAGTATCCAATATTTGAAAAATATAAAGCCAGTTAAATGCACATCGATTTCCTCCGATTTGGAATGCACCTTCACACGCACTGCAACAGTGTGAAGAGATGCCTTTTGCAGTCCGAGTTGTGGTCCAGAGTAAAGCTAAGGCCAGCTACAAGGGTAAGTTACTAGATGCTGTGGCCTTGCCTTCGCGTCCATACACGCATGAGCACTCTTTCTTTAGCGTGATTCGGAATGATACACCTGCATGTGTGGATGGCTGTCCATCCTTTGTCTTACACGAGCGATGGTTTGCCTTTTCTTCTCTTTTCACATGGACTCGCAAGGGCTTTAGGTGCGCCGCAACTGCAGCTTGCGCGTAGAAAGCTTTAACTTTAACCCCTTCTGCTCTTCACCCTTGCACCGAAACGGCCTGATTCGCAGGAATTACGGAGTGCCAACAACTGCTGGAGCTTGCGCATAATTAAAGCTGGGGTGGGGGATGCAGCGCCTTGCCCCCACCCTGCCTCCCTTTGGCTCTCCACCCCCGTTGTTGTGGGTGCAATAGAAAGTGGAGGCTGAAAGTCTTCGAAGGTGGAGCAAAACAGGATTGTGAAAAAGCCCATCAGTTTCCAGAAGGCTCCCATATCAAAAAAGCAGTGCAAAGGGTGAAAAAACATGTTCAAGAGTCAAAAAGAAAGGGTGAGGTGAAAAAGACATGTGTTCCAAGGGCACAAAAAAAGTTCCAAAGGGTGCAAATGAAAGGGTTCTTGGGGGTGGAAAAAATGGGTTTTGAGGGTGGAAAAACTGATTGCATAGAAAAAGTTGTCTCAAGGTTAAAAAAAGGGAGCCTCACAAACTACTGTGGAAGGTGAAAGCACATGACATGCAAGAATAATTGAGATATATACTTTGTATCATCTGTTGCTGCTGTGACGAGACGCATTGAACAGCCGCAGCCGGAACCGTTGTCCAGGACAATTGTTCAAACCGAGGGTCCTGCCTCGGAGACTGCATTAGATCCAAAGAGGACAGGAAATGATGTGGACATGTAGGAGGATGAAGAAAGAAAATGTCAAAAAGCCTCAATCTTCCAGCTGCCTTTCCTGCATGCAGCTGTAGACTCCATGCATTTCGCATTGTGTTGCCTGGTTGTGCCTACTCTCCTGGTTCTGGTGATACAAAAAATGCTTAAAATTCTGAATTCACCCACCCATTTGTGCGTTTTCCTCTAGCCCTCCCCGAACACATTTCGAAGGTCTAGGAGGCATGGCCATTGATTGCAGGGATGCATGTCAACCACCGACCACAGCCTTCTATCTACAAGATCCTCAGTCATAGAGTCATACCTGCAGTGCAGGGTCATTATTGCATCCGTCGTTCCAAGCTAGAATTGGTCATGGGCATGCGCAAGTGGCGAACCATCTTGTGATTAAAAACAAAATGCCTCTCATGGAGGCCTCCCGGAACGTCAGGCAAAATTGAAGTCTCTTTGCTAGCGTGGTTGCTTCATCAAAGAAATCAGGAACAAAGCAACCCTGGCCTCGTCACGGCGCGTCTTGGATGTCACGGCTTCTTCCTCACATTTTCGCGACATCTCCGTGTGTGTGTGTGTGTGTGTGCATGTGGGTGCAAATTTAAAAGGCATCCCATCCATCCTCTGAGGCTTTTAGCAGGCGAAAAGCCTTGAACTCCTCTATGGAGATGTTTCCGTTGTTATTTTTGTCCAATTCCTGCAAGTTCAACAAGCAATCACAGGCATTCTCACGGCAGCAACACAGCCCTTCAAGAAGCTCTACAATTGAAATAACAACTCGAAATGACACATACAAAATGGTCTCCTTAAACACTGCCCTGGCGTTGCCTGTGAAATGCAAAGCTCTTGCCTGTACACAATCTCAACAAAGCTTCACTACATTTCTGACTGTGGCAGGATCCGTTTCAATAAGGCAGCCCTGTTGGCAATGCACTTCTCTCACAAAAGCGGAGGCAAGGACAAAGTTCTGCTGTAACTATGGCCGGAACTCCAGAAACAAACTCCGTCATCCCCAGCTGGTAGTTCTTATTGCCATCGAAGTGCCTGTAAGCCTCCGCTTGGTCCAACAAGAGAGTCGTATGCCATATGTCATATGTCGCCGTATGTCTGAATTCTCATGGAATCCCTCGTCATTTCTCGCAACTGACCTCTTCCAAGGTCTCAAACCGTTTGAGGAGCAGTGCTGCAAACGCACCTGATGAGTTTCACTGTGCGTCACTCCGTTTGAGTCCCTCTGAATTGCAGAGCGTGCAGAGCATGTGCTGGTGCCCAAGACTATGCTGCCGCCGAGGTACGCGTGTCTGGGCACCCATGCTCCTCAAAGTGCGCCTTGCTAAGAATTCTGTGTATTGTAATTGTAACCTTTTCTTCGGTAAGATTAAAGGAGACCTAAGGTTAAGTCGCAAGGAGAAAACAGGTTAAGTAGCTAGTAGGAGCGATCGGAAGCTACTAGACAGGCAAAAGAACTTAGGCTTCTTCAAGGATGGGGAGCGAACATTGCTCCTAGTAGTAAGGCCAGGAGCCCCTAGTAGCGTCTTTGCTCCTAGTAGCGATGCCAGGAGCCCCTAGTAGCTTCTAGCCCCTAGAATGTTTTCAAGCTTGTCACCCAGCCTTTCCGCTTTTCTTCATGGCTGGCAGCAGGGTGCGGTTTGTTCCAGGCAGCTTCCCCTGCTGTCGCATGAACACTCTGAAATGGGTTCTATTCTTCGACATGTTCCCTCACACATGGATGCACAGAACATCTCAATTCTTCACAGACTCTCCCAATCACCATAACAAAGCGAGGGACTGGCCAGACAAAATCAAGACGTTGATCCTATCGGCTCTGAACCCTAAGTGATACATAATTGGAGTGGGTAAAGGAGTCCAACTGCATTGGCAAAGGAAGTTAGCAAGAGAGTGATGCACAAGCGCAGCATCATAATACAACATTGAAGTCGTTTGGAGCTTGGAACGAGCACCGAAAGCGCCGCTTGCTTATAAGCGTGGAGAAAAGTGTGGACTGCCCTGCACCGCCTGCTCTTGGAAACCAGTTTTGCGCAATGCCCTCCAGTGGAAAGGATGGCGAAGGATGCATGGATCCAAAAGACCAAAATACGAGGAAACAAACATTGCATGAAGGACTATCTTTTTATTTCCCCAGATAGCGAAGCTATGGGGTTCTTACTTCAAATAACAATGTGTTGCCCGTGCGCGCTTTCGAGACAGGTTGCTGGCGCTGGTCCACGCGTGGTGGAGACAGGGTGCCGGGTGCCGGTGCCGGGCGCCGGTGCTGGGTGCTGGCTGTTCGCCTGGTGTTTCTTATTTTTTCAAACGAAAATGAGCTGGCTGCGCGCAGGGTGCCGGTGCTGGGTGCCGGTGCCGGGTGCTGGTGCTGGCTGTGTTGCTGGTGCTGGGTGCTTTGAGCTGGCTGTGCGCGTGGTGGAAACAGGGTGCCGGTCCTGGGTGCCGGTGCCGGGTGCTGGTGCGGGCTGTGGGCGCGTGGTGGAGACACGGCGCCGGTGCTGGGCGCTGGCAGTGCGCGTGGTAGAGACAGCGGGCGCCGGTGCCGGTCCTGTGAGCTGGCAGTGCGTGTGGTGGAGACTGGGTGCCAGTGCTGCGTCCTGGCTGTGCGCCGCGTGGTGGAGACAGGGTCCCGGGTGCTGGGTGCTGGGCTGGGTGGTGGTGCCGGTGCTTGGTGCTGGTGCCCGCTTCTGACAGTGAAGTGATAACAACCGCCAATTCTGACAGTGAAGGCCGCTTGCAGCAGTGAAGGGCGACCAAGCACGGCTTCTGACAATGAAGTGCCAGCAGTCATGGGCCGCATGAACTTATGCACGCAACATCATGCGGTGTTGTCGCTTGAGCGTTCTTTGTCTATTAGCGCTGTGGGGTATTTACACGTCAAGGATATAGAATTTGCGCGCATACTTTTGCACGTATAATGTTGTATGCGCAACGTCAAGCTCTCAACCGACCATGGTTTCAGCGTGTTTCAGCATGCTACACACACAAAAGTCGTGCTGGATACTGCTTGGCCTTGGGCGAGTGAAGCCTACGGGCTTTGCCGTTTGCGCGCGTACTTTTGTTCGCATAAACTTATACGCGCAAGATCATACGGCCTCATCGTTCTGCATATCGTTGCTTCAAACATGCTACATAGTGGCGCTGGATACTGCTTGGCCTTGGGCCATATGTTGTTATTCCCCAAATAGGGCTAGCTATGGGGCTCTTGCTGCAAATAAGAATGAGCTGGCTGCGTGCGCTTTCGAAAGGGCGTCGGTGCTGGTGCTGGTGTCAGCTGATTGCGCGCGCTGTGGAGGCACCGTATTCTGGCTGCGCAGGCTGCGTACATTCTTGTTCCAGCCAGTCGCATGTCAACAGGTCGTGGGATTCTGCTTAGCTATCTGGGTCTATGCCGGTGTAATTATGTATGTACAACACGAGCAAACCAGATCAAAAGAATCGTTCTCAAACCTGCATATGTTTGAAGGATCATCACTTTCAAGACCAAATCAATCCTGCTCCTAGTTTTGCACGTGTCAACTGTTCGTATTGGTTAAATAATATATATATATATAACGAGTTTTCACCTAAAGACTCAGGGCGTCATCAATAATCAGGGTTCCAGCAGCTGGAAACGGTCTTGCTAGTAAAACCCCCTTGTTTGGGCACTACTGAGTACAATGAACAATGTCCAGCAACTAAAACGGGAAATGAGTCAATGGGGTGTTCTCGTGCATAATTCTTTCCAAAATGTTGTTTTGAGTTGTATTTCATTATACTTCATGATGATACTAATGGACACCCTCACACATCAACATCCATAAACACAATCTGACAGCCTACTTCTGGTAACCAAGGATTGTCACCGTGATACATTCAAACCAACTGAGATGTGTGCCCTCTGGCATCGGTCATCCCGTGCTCAAGCCACTTCTATCCTTGCAACATGGCAGCCAAGACTGTCGGTACCTGCAATATTTTTATGCAGCTCGAATGCATTGTTACTTGGCAAGCACGTCGACCGTCCTGCTTGGTCCATCATGAAGTTGCGGGCTTGAACCAAGATCAGATTGAACCGAAGACGCCAAAGAACTGTAAGACTCTTACGGTGCTGTACTGCTACAGTAGTGTAAACACATACTATCCTTATACCGTTGACAAAGACTGACGCTGACAGTGGCAAACCACGGCAACTTTCGATGACAAATTTCCCAGTTACAGACAGACAGCTAGCGCGCGCGCGTGATCATTCGCACATTAGAATCTTAGAAGAAGTTGCAGTGAGAGGGACCTGTGTGGGACGGTTGCAAGAGCGCCAAGAATCCTACGCACTGTCAAGGCTGCGCAAGGAAGAGCTCGCAATTTCCCTGTACGAATGTAGCGCACTAAGTTGTCCTACAAATATAAGTGCTCGAAGTAGCCCCTAGGCGGAGGAGGTCGAAAGCTAGCAGAAGCACACTGGCGGTTCCTTTATCCGCCCTGCGGTTGAGGTCAAATCTCAATCCTTGCGTCAACTTACAAGATTTCAATGACGTGGGATCAAGTGGGTGTAGACATGTATTATGAAAGTAAGGTCCGCTTTGCCTGAGGCGATGGAGGTGGACGAAAGGTACAGAGCTAGCAGCCCAGCACCAGCAGCCCAGCACCAGCAGCGGCAGCGGCAGCGGCACTGCTTGCAGGGCTTCACTGTCCTAGTGCAGTATTGCACAAGTGGATTACCCTGCAGGCATGGACATGTATTGTCCTGCTGGACTTTGTGGATATAAGTCGGGCGTTCAAAATTGAAGCACAGGGTCTGCTCATTGCTACTGAGGCCTTCAGCGAGGCAGTCCGGACACAAAGGTCGCTTGACCACATCCTTCTCCTTCATCTTCCTCACCATGCCGCAGGCGGTAGCATGGGTCCGCTCGCCAGTTCGGATACAGATCACATAAATTGGCGGCTCAGATCGAGCTCGTCTCATTCGCCGGTGAGGTCGATGGGATCTCTTTTGCCCCCTTGCCACGTCCTGGCGAGAATGGCTTGGAGGGTGTGGTGATGAACTCTTCGGAGGCGAACAGCTCGGTGGATGCGGAGAAGCACTTGATGTCGGGATCACGTCCCAATCTCCATTGGATGAGCTCTTTTCTCCATCATCAGCAGCTATGGCATGCCCTTCAATCTTCTTCTTGCCCTCTTCAACCTTCAGGTTGACGCTCGAAGATCCCTTCTTCTCGGCTCCTTTGAATTCTCTCTCGGTCACCTTGTCCTCCGAACCTTTAGCGCCTGAGGCTCTGCTCACATTGATCTCGACGTCGACAGGCGAGTCGCTGTCGACATGCACGAAAATCTTTGGCGCCATGTCCGCTCGACAAGATGATCAAGTGATCAAAACTATATATACTTATGCATACCTATCGAATTGTGTCCATCATCGTGGAGATTTCAGTCCGGTATCTATTGGCACTCAATGCGCAACATACCATGGTGGGTGGCAAAGCAAACATGCATGCTCCATTCAAGAACTAAGTCGGGTCAATTGATTCGCAGTTTTAAACATGTTCATCTCAAGTGTTCCAATCACAGTTCAAATAATCTATTTGAACACTGGATTGAATTCAAAACTCTATCACGTGATTCATGTCAGTTCGCAGCCACTGACGCACGGGTCTTGCTCAAGAACCAAGAAGCGAACTCGGTGGCAAGCATTCGAGGATATCGAGCGAGATCGTGCAGGTGCTGACCATTCAAAGACTGGTGCTTTGAACATGCGCAAACCTTGGGCTGACACATCTTGATGTTGCAACAAACACGGAACATATGCCTTGCAGGCACCTCGAGCTCAATCTGATACATACACCTGGGAAACGCCTCAACCCATCTCAACTCCAGATCCTGGCAGACCGTCTGAACCAGGGTGGATTTCCAGTACGTCGAGTGGCTCGAAAGCTCCAAGCACCGCAGGTGACAGACACTCATGACACTTTTGCGCTCGTTCAACAGGTGCGCAAACTCGCGAAAATGAGTCTCCTGCAGCTCAAATCGTCTTGGCGGGGCGATCAGGTTAAGCACTGGACTTCCTCCTGTACATGGTGGACTGCTCCAACACAAAACCAAAACATCGTCTAAAATCAAACACAACCAATCAGTCAGGATGTTCTTGATGACCTGAATCTTACATTCCTTGGTGACAGGGATGATGCCTAGCTTCCGAAACTCATGCAAACCACGAAGTTGGGAAAAACCGGCATCTCGGGTTGTGAAGAGGTCAACTAGGACATGTGACACCTGACCCTTCCCGATTTGCGACTTGAGGTGCTCTAAGCTCTGGCGAAAATCATGGATGGCCTTACTATCAGGCTCATTCACAGAAACACTGAGGCTGGGCGTTCCCTTGTGAGATTGTTCGTCAATCTTTTCATGACTGGATCCATGGGATGGCTGCACGTCAGCCGGGCTAGATGCGATGGCATCAACATCAACTCTCGGTTGTGGTACCTTAGACTTCTTCTTTGACTCGAACTGCCAAGATTCGGGGGCTGTTCGTTCAGTTATCCCAATCTGGCATCGATGAAACTCTGTGGCTTCACGATTCAAAAATCTTTGTCAGCAGGTCGGCAACACAAAGCTTTCCTGAAATCCATCGAAGAACCAAGTGGCCGCTCTCAACAAGAGACTGGATGAAACAGGTGGCCAATGACATGTGTCTCACTCTCCTAGAAAGCCCTTGGCCCTTGGTTTTGAAGCGCTGCCAAACGCGATTGGGAATCCGCAAACACAATGATTGGGTACGTCTCTCGATTCCCACTACTGCCGATCTGATCAAATGCAATGGCCTGGAGGTCTTTCTCATGGAATCGTGCCAACTCGCTTGGATCAGCAAAATTCTCCAAAAACTCAACGAGGTGGCGCAGTCCAATGCACTTGGGAAATCTGACATACTGCAATCACTTCGGATTCACACGACGAAAGCGTTATGCAATGTTGCACGCGGCTGTATCCCTTGATTACACTCCCCTTCCAATAGATCACACCTCCGCTGATCGATCTCTGTTGCTCTGCATCGGAACTTCCCCAAGACGCATCCGAAACACCAGTGATGCCGTCATAGAATGGAATGGAAGCGCTGTTGGCTGGGTACTCTTGATACAAATGAGCAACTGATCTTACAAACCTCAAATACTTGCGAAGCATGTTCTCATGGATGTTGGTGGGCGTTGCTTGACCTATTGACAGGAGTGAAAGGAATCTTGCATGGTCAGGACGTGACTGTGCCCACCAAGCCAGCCTGCCTACCAGCTTCCGGTAGCGCGAGGCTGCTTCGTCCGTAAGGACCGTGATGCTGCTTGGGTCTTTGTGTCCCTTCTCAAGGATGGCCAACAGATCTGGAGGAACAGGTGAGGCTTTCAGATCACTACAGAATGGTTCCGTCTCAAACAAATCCTCCAATTACTTGGTGGGAACCCTCACATACAGTGATGTGGATCTTTGTGGACGAATCACCTCTCTCCCCAAAAACATCAACGAACCACCCTCATGTCGTGAACTGGTGATCGAACCTGTGACCTTGACTTTCAAAGACTCTTGCAGCGATGCCTTGACATCTTCAATGCCTTTTGGCGACAGCGAAGCGACCAGAAGGTCATCAACATACACAAGCACTGCAGTCGGACACTCCGATGGCTTCGACATGCCTGCTAAGATCGTTTGTTCGCTGGGGCGTGTGACAAGTCCTGCATTGTCCCTCAAGATCTGAGAACACGTGCCTAGCCAAGCTTTTGAAGCAACACGTAATCCATTCATTGCACGTGTAAGGTCCAGAAACACTGGCTGGTATGAATCTTCAGCGAACGACAAGTCAGCGGGCAATCGAATGTTCGCTCTCACTCCCCGCGGGAGATTGCTGTGCAAAAACGCTGTCGAGATGTCCAGGCTCGTCAACCAAAGGTCAAAGTATTGGACCGCAGCAATGAAAGACCTAAATGCCTCAATGCTTGGAGTCGAACTTGATATACCTAGGTTGCGCGCGGACTGAGATCCGGATGCGACCTCCTGGACAACACATCGCGCGCGACATTGATTGATCTTTCCATCAATCGTCTAACTTGGCCGTGAGCACCCATCGTGAACCGATGATTCGAACTCCAAGTTCGTGGGACAATGTCTTTGCGGCATGCTCAACGAGTGGCGTGCCCACTTTGAGTTTGTCCATGGCGATCAGTTCGGTCATGCGGCCAGTCTTCACAAGGGCTGGACTAAATGTCATTTGCTGATCTTCTGAAATGCCAAGTTCGGGTTCGATGAGGAAAATATCTACTCCGCAGAAATGGAATGGCTCTGATCGAAGTTTCTCGGCACTCTTTGGGGGAACAAATATTGGACAGTAGACTCCTTGCCCTGAGACCCGACCGGAATGATCATGGACAAGCTCCTCAGGCGGTGGCATCAGCCAAGATGTGAATGTCGAGACATCCATCGGCAGCTTCATGGGATCAGGCGGACCAACGCGCGAACTTTCTTCATGCATATCGTCATCAGGAATTGATGGTTCGTACTCAGGGTCAATGTCCATAGGTCCAATGCCTGGATGATCCCTCGAAGCTTCTGGCTCAGGTCTCTCAGACTCAGTCGGCGGTGCACTGTCACCTGGAATGGCCGGCGGCATCTTTTGATGATATCGAATACGGGCTGTCGGATGATGCTGAGCAGGGGACTGACTTGGATCTGACGATTCAATCGGCTTTGGAACTTCAGGTTGATGAATTGGTTCACTCAATTTCTTTCTCTCATTCTCTACCCAGTCCCTATATCGGCGGCAGCAGGGTGCATGTGTTTTCTCCCATGCCTACTTTGGGAGTTGCAGGCAGAACAATCGGGAGTTGGACCGTGCTCTCGAACCCAGGCCCTTGGTGGACCGTTCAACGGAAGACCCTCGCGAATCCCGACCTCGCTATCCTGTGGTTGAGCAGGTCGCGACGGTCGCGAAGGCTCATGAGGTGGAGCTGCTGCATCCACATCCGAAGCTACCTTGATGACATCAGGTGCGAGTGAGGTGTCCCATACGATCTGACTCAAGGGTTTCACCTCCGCCTGAAAGATGT